AAATGTAGAGGCAGTCAAACTTTATTAAGAAAACAATACAAATATAAAAAGCGGATCCGAATGCTGTGTTACGAAGTACGTGGATTGCACGATGCTGAGGACTGCTCCTTCCTTTAAGACGGCCTGAGTGTCAATTCCCCAACAGAGCGAGGGCGAACCTCCTACAAAACTGACTCAGTACACCCATATACGTGTGATGCAGCTTTCTTAGCACAACCTATCGAGTTCGTTGACACAGCTCTGCGTAATGATATTTTCTCTATTAACTTTTTCGGAAACTGCGCTTTGTGGTGTTTCTGAAATCCATGCAAGGTGTGTCAAATTTGCACAAAAACGTCGACATTCCGGTTTGAAAACATTTTTTTCTCTTGTTGTGTCTAGTCGGGAATCAAGAGTTTTTCAAAGCTCGGCCTCCCAGCGATTATAGCTTGACGTTTGTTATAGAGGTTGCACTCCTTCATTTGATGGAAATTAGAGCAGAGTGTTTTCGACAAGACCCATCGCGAAAGCAGAGCTTCGGAAGAGCCTTGGTTTTCGAACACGACAAAGTTGAAGCAATCTTATAGTGCTGCGCTAATCCGATTGCGCAGCGGGGAAGGATAACCGGCACTTCTCTCGGTTTCATTGCCAAGTTCAGATTAGAAGAGACCTTGCATATATAGTGGATAGTGGAGCTCAATTAAAACCCATAGTGGCTAATTCTCTTTAGGAGAGAGAAAAAAGCAAAAAAACTACCATGGAGAACACCCTAGGTAAGGACCTCTGGCAGCCTCACAGAACGAATTCTACAGTTCTGCTAGTTTTATGCCAGGAAAGCGATACCCTGCCACTTCTAGCTCGGTAATCGCTCCTCCGCGTCATCCACTACTGATACCATTTAACAATGAAAAAAAAAACGGAAAAAGGGGTGTAAAAAAAACCTGTGACAGAAAATTACCTTTCAGCTCATGTGGACGGAACAACTAAGGAGGCGTCAGAAATGCCCGCTTGTGAGGGCCATAGCGCCTTCGTCACTTACTGTGAAGTCGCGAAGGTGGGATAATCTTGAAGAGTGACTGGGTTTCTTGTTTAGGGAGGACGCCAACGAATTACTCGAGCGCGGGACTTTTTTAAAAGGTGGCCTTCGATTTCAATCTTCGTGGGTCATACGGATTGGCAAAATCACTCTCGAGATGCATTTTCAATTCATTCCGCCGATGAGGTTGTTAGGTGAAGGAGTTGATTGAAACCGAGCTGACGTTTCGACAGGATCGTCGACCTCAGAGGCCAGTCCACATGAGCCGTACGATGCCACTCGCTGTTAGTTGTATGTAGTTAGATAACTACCAGTCCATCCGTCCACATGAGCGGAATCGGCATTGTTCCGCTCGTGTGGGTTGGCTGACCTCTAACAAGGGAATGGTTTGAACTTCCCATGGAACTTTGAATGGAGACCTAGGTACATCGATAGAGCCTCGAATGCTGATTACGAATATGCAGATTAAAAGTGCTACGGGGACCTCCCAGACGAGATCTGGGTGGTCAAAGTTTGAGTTCTGGCTCGTAAGCGCTGCTGATCGATGCTTCGGCAGTGCCACCGTGGCCTCGTGGTAGTGGTCTCGCTTTCAAGTCAAACGATGTGGGTTTGCATCCGGTTGGCGCGAAAATTTTTGCTTCGCTCGTATGGGTGCTTCAACTCTAATTTTCGAAATTCTTCCGAATTTAGGGCCCAGCAGGGCAAGTAGATCGAGAACAGAAGTAAACGGCAATACCCGATCTAGTGAATCGTATGGTCATATCTGCCCTCTCTGAAACATATTACCCCATTAACCGCAATTCAATAGTTTTAGCGAGAATTCTTGCAATCGAGATTTTGCGCACCCCCCCCCGCCCCCTGAACCACGAAATATGCAACACTGCCCTCGCGAAAAAAGCTCGTCTGGCGCAAACTGCGATCTGAGGAAAACTTGAATGTCGGTGGGTAAATTGTTCAGCGAGGGCAGATATGAATAAACCATACTAGGAGTCGAGTATGTCGTCTGTGATTGTAACTTGATCTACTTCCTGCTGGGCCGTAAATTCGGAAGAATTTCGAAAATTAGAGTTGAAGCTCTTATACGGAGCGAAGCAAAAATTTTCGCGCCAACCGGATGCAAACCCGCATGCGTTTGACTTGAAAGCGAGACCACTACCACGAGGCCACGGTGGCACTGCCGAAGCATCATCAGGAGCGCTTACGAGCCAGAACTCAAAAATTTTGACACACCAGATCGTCTGGAGTCCCGTACGACTTAATCTGCATATTCGTACAGCATCGAGGCTCTATCGATACCTAGTCCTATTCAAAGTCCATGGGAAGATTCAACCCATCGTCCTTGAAGACGACGATTCGGTCAAACGTAGCATTCGATGAAGCCGCCTAAAACTCTTCGACACCAACGATAAAAAACTGCACACACACATGCCGATGATTCATAAAAAGGTAAGATGGACACTTTCAAAGTCATTGCATGAACCAGTGTACTCATGGTAAGTAAAAGGGGTTGCCCTTGTGGTCAAAAAGGGCAAACATCAGACGTTCATGAGCCCGGTAAGGATCTGTGGAGAGGGGTCCACAAAAAAGCTTCTGTGCAGTTGCACGAATTCACGCAATTCTTGACGAAGTATGCTTGAAAATCATTTTTCCCAGCAATAATAACGAAATCAAGTTCAGCAAAGAACAAAGATTGCGGACTCATGTCCTCTCCGTTTTTGTGAATGGTGGTCGCTGTAATCTATCTTGTGCATCGACACTTACTACGCTTTCTATAAAATTTTTATTGTTTGGTACTGATTACCCTTATTCGATTAGTCAGGGCACATTTGTAATAGTAGTCTCCTATGGCCATATGTTTCACTTACAGGTATTACCTCTATGGACTGCTCAGATTCGAAGGAGAGGCTGATTGTTGGACGAGATAATGGCTCTCTGAGACTCTATGATTTCCCTGTACTGAGCACTGCGGTCAGTCCGCTGCCTCTATTTGGTGTCAGAATTGTAATCATTCCGTCAGCGCGCGTATGTGAGATTAATGATGTAAAGCAAAATCAGTCTCACAGTACGCAGTGAATTTGACAAATTTGAATGTGAAGGCAGCTATTCTATAAAACTGACAGCCAGCTTCTTGATGAAGTGTGCTCATAAGTTCTCCATTTTAGGCTGGTTTCCTAGCGCTCAGCGGTCATAGTCACGCCATCTCCTCAGTTACGTTTGTTGGGAAGCACTTGGTCACTGCTGGAATCACTGACAGCTCTCTCTTTCAGTGGAAGTTCCAATAGTGATTATCAAGATCTAATAATGAGGTCTATCCATTGCTCTGATGATTTGCTGGTCTCAACATATGTGGTTTATTTTATTTGAATTACTCTAAGATTTATTGTATTTGAATTACTCTAAGATTCGGAAATAAAGCTTTATTGAACGAGTCTCGTGTTGTAGGGAACAGTGATGGTTAAAAAGGGGTAGTGGGTAAGTATGCAAAGCAAAAAAAATTTTATTCGGAAGCTATGGACCTCTTGGAATCCCACGAGCACATGAGTCGTCAAGAACCTTCAATATTTGGGTGTTACAGAAACCGTCCCTCCATTTCTGACGATATCACGGCACCTTCAGAAAATGATCAGATAGCACCAAGCGAACTAGGTGCTCATTTTCCTACTTATAGAACTTGCGTTCCATAACTACCCTCAGATCCTTAATAAAGTCACTTCCTTTGTACACAAGGGATGGTATTCCAGAATGATTTACAAATACCACTCAACTAATCCGCAACAAAAATGCCATGTAAACAACACAATCTACAAAGGAATGTTCAGCACTTTCGAAAATATGGAGTCTTGCTCTTCCCAAAAGTGTTCTTGCCTTTGCAAAATGTTACTTGGAGGAAGTTCTCGCATGTCAAAGCGTAGCTTGCATTTTATGTCTTGGCCAAAGATATGGGAGGACAGTGGAAATTTAAGATGCAAATGGGCAGACAAAACAGAGGTAATACCACCTTCAGCACCAAAGTTTTCAGTTCGGCGAGTTTACAAGGTACGTATTAACCAGATGGCTCCAAATGTCTTCATAAGATGCAATTCTGTTGTAAAAAATCTGTAGCATCGTCATAATGTCCTGGGACATCCTGAACAAAAATTGCTCGTACCATATCCTGAATAGGATCCTGATTCTTTTGAGTTCCTTGTTGAAGGCAGAGCCCCGCGTTCACTCGAATGTTCCACGCCTTCCTTTGTATCTATTAGTCCCTTCGGACAAGATGAGGTGTACTGAGTTCGCTCAAAAAATAAGGAAGTACCGCTTCTGGTGAAGTGCTGCCCGCGCCGCCACCTGAATACTACAGCGTGGGTAGGTGCGGGGAAGGGGGGGACGCGCCTCTCAGAGCGGCGTGCCTTTCTTGTATATTCGCTAAGTCTGCAAATAGTTCATGTCCTCAATCCTTGTACGAAGAGCCACATATTTAATGAAGCGTATGGAAAAAATGATCATGAATGAACGCGGCTCGTCTATAAATGGGCAGGGCACGCCATCTTTGTGATCATCACAACGGGGGGTCGTATTTGCCCGCGATCGAGGGGGGGGGGTCGTAAACGCATGGCCCATGTTGAAGTGGAGAGAGCGGTGATACACGGTACAAGTGAAAAGAAGCTCAAAAGGGACGATGTAGATGACAATAAATAGAACTAGGCACTATCGAACTATTCCTAAGTCAAGAATTAAAAAAATATTGCTGAAACTTTTTCCACCTTCCTCACAAAAAAACTTCAAGACACTTCGCCCACCAACCCTCCTCATCTGTCTAGATAAAAAACAAAAAAAAAAAAAAAAAAAAAAAAAAAAAAAAAAAAAAACAAAAAAGGGGGTAAATCCCAATCCACTAATCCGCAAAATCTAGAAAAGAATCCATTGCAAAAGCTACCTATGAAACCGTAGAAATTGAATCCTGAGCAATTTCCTCACAACACAAAATCATAGCACGCCAAAAACAAACAATCAAAAATAACTCACAATCAAATAAGAAAAAGAATAAGATAAGAAAAAAAAAACTCACCAGGCCAGCTGGGAACCGGAACTATGGATTACTTTTGAATTTTTTGGCTTCGCCGTCAGCGCGCCTCAATACAAGCGCATGGTGGGCGCTATTTTTTACGTTTGAGCCAATTTCAACCAAACACGTGAAAAAAGTACTCCCCTCATTAACACCCACACTTCGTTGAAAGTGAAGCTATCGGAGAGGGGTAAGTGGGAATGAGTAGAGCTAGGTTGGCTCTTATCACCTGAATTGAGCGATTTCAAAAACGTTCCGGTTCCAGAGATTTTCCCCGTTGTGATCATCTTTGTGATCCGTCTGTGATCATTTTTGCGAACCGCGAGTCGCTACGCTTTGGACGTCCATGGCAAGCTTCATACACGACCTTTCGTAAAAAAAGAACTGTGGGCAGCAAGTTAATTACCTTCCTAGACCTACTATTCGAAAAAATTCCCCGTTGTGATCATTTTGTAATCACCCCCCACGACACCGAAAAATCAACCCCTCCGAGGCCATGAAACCTCCGGTTGGCTTGAATGACTTTGGTGCTTCTAAGAGACATGTTTTCGCAAAGGGTATCAGGAAATAGGCCATTGACGCCAATTGGTAATCAAACCATCTGCAATGCGCCATGCATGGGGCTTTCACGCAGGTGTTTGAAAGGTGTAACTTCTAGATAGGGCTTCCCAATTGCAAGCAAATGTGCTCCTACGATCAGAAAAGTCCGGGAATGTACTTTCATCGTTTATTAATCGTCACGTCGTGAGTCCTTTTGCTTAAATATAAATTCATTGTGCCCTTGTGGGAGGTGATTGAAGCGCCTATCATCGTCCCTACCTCGTACAT